AAACCAAGGCGAAGATGTCACGACAGTAGTAAAAGAATAGGTTGGTACATACCCGCCAGCAGCCGATAAAGCATCTCTAAACCCTCACCCGACAATCTTGGATCCTATCCCAACCCTTCAATCATTCTAAAATCCTTAACCCTAAACCCCAAACCCCAAAACCCAAAAACCCAACGTACACCCTAGACCCTCGAAAGCAATAAGCAGATGTTCAGCACATGTGAAAACTCAGGCACGCGCCGGTCCGGCGTGCGGCAGCGCGCACTCTGCGGGAGGCAGGAGTCTTTAGGATTTGGGGGGCTTTTAAGGTAAGCCCTAAACTCCAAACCCTGATGAAGCGCTTATGAAACTCCTACAGACAACTCTGAAGAAGCCTTACAAAGCCAACACAGAAACCCCTAAAGCTTAAACGGTGCTGGACGCCATGTTGGACAGTGGCACAGGGGCACTGGTCAGTGAAGGGATTCTGGGGAGTCCTGTTCAAGATGATGGGACGGAAGTGTGTGATGGCGAGTGCGGCGAGTGGATCCAGGGTCCTGTTCGTCGCGTTCTGAGGGGAAGCTAGACGGGTCTAGAACCAGCCTTCCTCATCGAGGCTGTCTGCAACGGAAGCGGTGTCGAAAGAGGCCCTCAAAAAGCAGCCTGAACCCTACAACACCCCTACACCCTCAACCTTAAACCCTAAACCCTAAACCGTTTGCACCATTATGTTTAAGGGTTTAGAGATTTCGGATTTACGGGTTGGGGTTTAAGTTCGGTGCTTGGGTTTAAGGCTTCGCCGGGGCTTGCAAGCTGCGGCGTGCGGCTTTGGGGTTTCGGATATAAGGTAGGCTTAGGGCTTTTCGGGTTGATGGGGCTCAGGGTTTAATCCTCAAGCGGCCACAAGCCTAAACCCTAAACCCTAAACCCTAAACCGTTAACCCTAAACCCTCAACCCTTAACCCCAAACCCTCAACCCTCAACCCTAAACCCTAAACCCTAAACCCTAAAAACCAGGTGGTTCCGAAAGATGCCGAGCTGGCCATCCCGTTGCTGATCGGCCGCGCGGGCGCGTCGGAGCCTCAGACGCGATCGTCGCGGTGCCGTGGCTCCAGGGGTTTAGGGTTTAGGNNGGTTTGGAGTTTATGGTTTAGGGTTTAGGGTTTAGGGTTTAGGGTTTAGGGTTTAGGATTTAGGGTTTAGGGTTTAGGGTTTAGGGTTTAGGGTTTAGGGTTCAGGGATTGCGGTCCCTACTGCAGTGATCAGGGGACTCAGTCAGACAGGCAAGGAGTGGTTCAACCCCGGTTATCGGTAGTTCTTAACACCCTAAACCCTAAAATCCCGGTTACTGTATCTGTAGCTCAAACCCGAAACCCTAAACTCCTAAACTCCTAAACCCGACACTGCAGTTACCTTGCTCCCCGGATAGCTTAAGAAGCCCTGCACCTCACAAAGCGTTTCGATTCTTGGAGGGTCTACGGTAGAGGTGGCAGGGCTCAGGGCTCATAGGGTTTAGGGTATAGGGATGCCTATGGATTTTGACTTGGCCCAAACCCTAAACCTGAACCCTAAACCCTAAACCTGAACCCTAAACCCTAAACCTAAACCCTCAACCCCAAACCCGCAACCCTCAACCCTAAACCCTAAACTTAAACCTCAACCCTAAACCCTAAACCCTACACCCTCAAGTTAGTCGCGTGGTATGGGTTTCTACGCCCTGGTTGGAGACAGGGAGTACCAGGGGTTTCCCCCAAAAGACGTAACACTCAATCAGCTCTGTGGCTCACACCGAGTCCAGGGTTTTTGGGCTTTCGGTTTAGGAGTCAGGGTTTAGGGTTTAGGGTTGAGGGTTTGGGGTTTTGGGGTTTGGGGTTTGGGTAGGGTTTCGGGTATCACGCACTTCAGGCGCGAGCCGACTAGAACTTAAACCCCAAGCCCCGGAAGCCAAGCCTGAAGAACAGTCCTTCGCAGCTCAGATTACTTTTTTCCTGCCTGGAGGATCATGGGACTTAGTAAGTAAGGCTATAAGTACTTGTAATTGAAAATATAGTTGCCTTACTTGTAGCCTTACTTGCCAAGTCCCATGATCCTTTAAGTAGGCGATATGTGGCAATTTAGCAAGACGGTCTCAGCAGTACAGGGCAGCAAAAAGGGACGGGAAGGGAGCAGGAAGAGTCGAGGGGACCCGTTTTATGAAGGGCACTCGATGTGCGAGATCGTTTGGCTGAAGAGCCTGGCAGCTAGGTTCTTGTTCAGGAACTTAGGTTAAGTTACCATAATAGGCGTCTATATTATCTACTATAGACCCCTATTATGGGTACCTTATTCGAGTAAATAGATTAAATTAAACTCGGTTCCTTGAGAAACCAGGTAGAGGCCGGCCGTGAAGGAAGAAAAGAGCATCCAGGAGGAAGTGAACAAGCGCGGGGCAGGCAGTCCAGTTCCACCAGAACAAAACCCCACGAACATCCACCGAGCCCTAAACTTTAAGCCTACAGTGAAGCACAAGGAATGCAGTCCTTCCGCCGTACGCAGTTCTCTTCAGCCAAGCTTCAGTTCGAAGTTGAGTGTTTAATGTAGGGGCCTAAATCATTCCCAATACTCGTGTTGATGATATAAATCCTGCAGTACCTGAAGGACCCTAAACTTGCCTTAGCACTTTCACGGCGGCACAACCGAGCAGCACACCCCGTGAGAAGCCAGCGGGGATTGCAAGGTGCGATGACGCTGCTCTTGAGAGATGGAAAGCCGACCGTTACAGGTTTCCACCATACCAATACCTTCCAGAAAAGTTGATTTGACATCCCACCAAAGGGAACCGCCTCCCTTCTGCAGACGAGCGTGAAAGATGCCTCGGATTTCCCTGCGGATACACACTGAATGTTTTGCCCAAGAACGAGGCATAAAGCAATCCCACTTTGGTGGATGATTTACGCATGCCTTGGGTGATGCTTGGAGTGTTGTGGTATATTCCGTATTACGGGTTATGCAGGATTTATATTATATCATCAATCGTTTTTTTGGGGTTCCCTGGACCCCTAAACCCTATTCTACCTTATTGAGGCCCCTATATTACTTGGAGGATCATGAGGCTTGGTAAGTAAGGATAGAAGTACTCTATTATAGCATAATGGACCCCAAAACCCTAAACCCTAAACCCTAAACCCTAAACCTTGTTCTACCTTATTAAGGCCCCGATATCAGAGCTTGCTTCCGACCCGGACCTCGGAATTCTGTGATGGAGACTTGGCCCTGTTGGATCAGGTCCAGTCCCGATGCCCGCAGGGGCCTTGGCAGTTCAGGGTTTAGGGGTTTAGGGGTTTAGGGGTTTAGGGGTTTAGGGGTTTAGGGGTTTAGGGTTTAGGGTTTAGGGCTTAAGAGACCTGGTCATGATAGAAATGAGGGTTTTCTCCAAGGGTTCTGTAAGTTTTAGGGTTCATGGTTTCTTAAGGAGTTCTTCCTGTTTGTTGAGGAGTATTGGTGCTAGGGAGCTGTATTATGATGGGTTTGGTAGCGTATTTGCTGGGTGTGGTTGACCTCCAAGTTTGGGGTTTATTCGGGTTACTTCTGCTCTTGGGTGTGGTGCTTAAGGTGAAGGAAGGGCGATGGTGGTATCTGGAAAAGAGTGTGCGGACAGCTCTTTCTTCAAGAGCCTTTTTATTGGGATCCCTACCATAATTCTTTTCTGAAGTGCGCGGGTTGTCCACAATGGGTCTGCATTAGTGTAGTAGACCCTCATAACTATATACTTGCCTTTCAGGATCGCAAGTGGGATCCCTTGTTCTAGGCTTCTCAATTAGGGTCTAGGGTCACCCTCAACCCCCAGCTTTAAATTGTATCGGCGCTCGACCAAAATAAATCCTTATGCCTTGTCTTGTCGGGTGTGATTCACTTGCCCTGTAAAGGTTTAGGGTTTAGGGGTTTAGGGTTTAGGTTTTTGGGGGGTTTAGGGTTTGTTGGGACTTTGAGAAAGAATGAGACATCGAAAATAAGTCATTGGATCCTTTCTGCTGGTGGGCAAAATCCTCGATTCGCTTTTGAGTGCCGCGATATCCCCTTGAGTACCTGCATGCTATGGTGGTTTCTCTTTCACCCGGGCGCCTATAACACCTCGCCGATCTTCAAGCTTTACAGCGAAGTTCTCCAGCTCGTGGAAGAAGACATCAATGCAGCGCGTGCCGAGCGCCATCGTATTTGGGACTGAACAATCCCTATTCGGGACGCGCCTCTCTGTCTGGCGGCAGTGGCAGCCTGGAAGGCGAGGGCAAGCAGGTGGTCTTACCACGTAATCTAGGCCGCAGCATTTCCTTCCTTACGGAAGGAAAAAGATTGCTGCGTTGGCTGCAAGCAGACGGGTCGGTCAACGAAACTAGCTGACCAGCCAGTGTACTGCCTTGAACGGGCAAATTTGAGGACCCCTTCAGCTGCTGCCTGACACGGCCGCGCTATTGAGCGACTGCCGAAAACCGGTGGCCGCCTGCCACCCGGGTGGCTGCTATCCCCTGAGCCCTCAACCATCAATCCTGCGTCCTAGCTTCAAACAAGCCCTCAACCCCAATGCCCCAAACCCTAACCCTAAACCGTGGAAATGCAACCCTCCCTTAATTCAAGGGCCTTGTTTGTGCTAGCTCCGATGCAGGACATGACAGTGAATTAGACGGCCAATAATACTGTTGATGATATGAAACCTGCATTACGTACCTTAAGGACCTTAAACTATAGGAATTATGGTATCTTCCTTATTATGGGCAATGCACCGTACGACCAACGCCCTAGACTCCAGGGCCACCTCTTGTTTATGCTAACCAGGGCACTGATGCGTTTTTGATAAGGATCTTTTATTTAATCTTATTCAAGTCGTCACAACTAGGGATCTGCAGTAAATTATAGGGTTTCGACCGGTTTCGATATGATGGTAACCCTAAACCCTAAATCCTAAACCCTAAACCCTAAACCCTAAACAAAAGGAGGTTCCTCAGGCAGAACTCAGACTAAGATTCCTGGAGCTTTCCCTGGTAGAGGTTTCGAAGTGACGAGTGCTCTCGAGCATTTTGCCGAACGTCGGGGGCCCGGCGCAGTTGGCTTGGGAGTTCGTTGAGATTTGTCGGTTTGGGTGGCTAGGCTTCAGAACCGCAGGGAGTTCGGAGGTTTAGGGGCTTAGGGCTTAGGGGTTTGGGGTTTAGGGTTTGGGTTTTAGGGGTTTAGGGGTTTAGGGGTTTAGGGTTTGTTTTGGCTACATGGTTGCGCCGTTCTTGGAATCGGCTATCAGGTCTTAGCTAGTGTTTTGGGCCTAGAGCGCTTCGGGGGTTTGGGGTCTTGCGCTGCATTGAGGCTTCGAGACTCTGTGACCCCTTGGGTTTTGGCTGCAGTGTCGGGGTTTGTAATATAGGGGCCTTAACAATTATAACATGGAGCACCCACAAGCATATTCTAATTGTTAAGGCGCCTACATTAGGGCTTTTGATGTCTTTAGGACCAAGGATTCGGGTGTTTAGGGGTTCATCACCCACCACATCGTAAAGTCCTAAATTACAGAACCATCAGGTAAATCTTGCACCCTTCTATATCATGTAGAGCAGAGGCAATTGGGATTTTGGAGTTCGAGTTTTGCTTGGGCTTTAGAGAAGGAGATGGTTTAGGGTTTAGGGTTTAGGGGTTTAGGGAGTTTAGGGTTTAGGGTTTAAGCTTCAGAAAGTGGTTCCTTCCTGTCGGAAGCTCCTACTTGGAGTTCCCCTAGCCCTTAGTTATGTTCCCCAATACCCAACCTTTAAACTTTTTGAGTTCTTATGATGTAGTAGTAACCTCAAAGTTTGACCTTTTGTTTCCCTGGCTTATTGGGAATTCAAGAAACCCTAAATCCTACAGGTTACGGGCTTGGGGTGGTCTGGAGGAACATGGGAGGATGGCTTAGAACGACAGGGCAAAGCTGATAGTGGAATTCATCGTCGTCTACAAACCCTCAGAGCCCTGCGGTCTAGGGCTCAATTAGGGTTGAGGTTTTAGGGTTTAGGGTATCAACTTATGAACTCACTGATCGGCACCACTGTCGCAAAAGAAAGTGTTATGTCCCGTTCATTACGGGAAAGCTCCCTCACAACAGTATGATATTGGACGCGACAATAGAATCCTTATGAACCCTAAGTGGAAAAGCCCAATGGAAGCCATACCTTAGAAGCTTTAAGGAGGCAGCATAAGGAAGCCCGCCCAAATTTATCCCTAACCCCCAAACCCTAAACACAACACCCTATACCCAAAAGCCTAAAGCCTAAACCCTAAACCCAAAAGCCTAAACCCTAAACCCTAAATCCAAAAGCGCCAACCCCAAACCCAAAAGCCTAAAACCCTAAACCCCAAACCCAAAAGCCTAAACCCTAAACCCAGAAGCCTAAACCCTATACCCCAAACCCAAAAGCTTCAACCCTAACGCCTAAACCCTAAACCCAAAGCTTAAACCCTAAAGCCTCAACCCTAAACCCTAAACCCAAAAGCCTAAACCCTAAACCCCAGACACCGTTTCAGCTCCTCCCGGAATTCAGGCGGCGACCGGAGGGTGCTCACAGCCCTCATCGATCGCTTGGAGGATGCAGAGGCCCGTCGCCCTTTCTCTAAATGTGGGTTTCAGGGTTTCGGGTTTAGGGTTTAGGGGTTTAGGGTTTAGGGTTTAGGGTTTCGAAAATAGGGGACCCTAATATAGCACCCTAAATAGTAGGATCCTTATTATAATGACCCCCAAAATAAAGGTACCCCTAATTTTCGGAAACTCCCAAATGCCATACTGTGGGGGCCTTAATCTCAGTTCCCGCAATACCCAACCTTTACGCTTCTTTTTAAAGATGAGGTTTTGAATAAGTTGGTAGTAATCTGGAAGTTTACCCAATTCATTTTCCTGGCCTGTTGGGGAATTAGTAATAATTACCTATAATCTTGGGGGTTCCTGATTATAATCATAGTACAAATTATACACCTAAAACCTTGGTTTGGGGTTTAGGTTTAGGGGTTTAGGGTTTAGGGTTTCGGGGTTTACTTGGAGGTTCACTGGACTTAGTAAGTAAGGTTATAAAGTAGCTTATTATTTTGGTTACAAGTACTTATAAGTCGCTTACGACCCAGTTGCTAAGTCCCATGCTCCGTTAACTAGGGGTCGGGACAAGTAGCACTTGTATCCCCCTCTAGTGAACTTATACAATTCGACCAAGTCTAGGGGAATTTAGCTACTTAGTAGAGTATGCGCTCTAATATTCAGGCCCCTGCATCGCCACAAACAGAAAAAGAAGGCTAACCAAGACCGAAGCATGAATGAGCCCTGGACCCTAAACCCTGACCCTAAACTGCCAAGGCCCCCAAAAATATTTCAAACCCAAAAGTAGAGGTGTTGAAACAATTAGTTGAACTAGTATTCCTGAGGGTTACTTGTTCAACGTACAGTATAATCTCCTGCAAAACCCTGAATATGACGGCACTTACATACAGCATAACCTTGCAGTGCGCCACCCGAATACATATCCTGCACGTCAAGCACTGGAACCGTAAAGCCACAAACCATTCTAGTTACAACTTGGAAGCTCAATGCCCTGCAAGCCATACGTCGATGACTCCCAGAAAATCTAGGATCCCTGATATACCTGAAACATAGCAGGCTGGATGGGGACCCTCTTTGGGGTTCAGGGTTTTAGGGCTTTGGCGGCTTTGGCTTTAGAATTTGCGGCTTAGGGTCACCAAACTTACCCGAGATCCCCATCTACGTACCTCCGAAGTATTGCAGGGGTCCGTGCGCGCGAGAGCGATCTCCGCGCTGTCAGTCGTGTCCGCGCGGGGCCCGGTCTCATAACGTTTGCAGCGTTTAGGGTCCAGGGCATACGATGGTTTTACATGGGGAACCAGAGGGTTTTGGGACTCCAAGGCCTAGGTTTCAGAGCTTAGGGCTAACATGTTGGAAAGCGGAGGCCGCAGAAATGGATTTGCATCGAGTGGCGGGCCTTTGCGGCATTGAAGGTGAGGCAGCCCAAGTTGTGGGGGTCCTCCCTCTACTGTCGCCACTCCAGTATCTCTCTAGTACGCTATTCGACGTTATTCTGAGTTTTCTCAGGGTTCAGGGTTGGGGTTTTCAGGGTTTAGGGTTTAGGGTCGTACCCCGAAGCCTACGCCTGTAAACCCTGATCTCTACTCCCTACTAAACTCCCCGGAACCCTTACGGGAGACCTCATAGAAACCCTTTATTCTCATCGCCACTCCGCGCAAGAACCAAATCTCAGATCTGTGCCAGGAACCTGACGACGACCAAGTCCTCGTCCAGGCTCGTCCCACGACTCGCTTGAGCGTGTGCATGGTTTTTTGAGGCCCTGGCAAGGTATCTAATATAGGGGCCCAAACAATTACCTATGCTATGTTGGGGGTTCCGTATTTAATTCTAGTATAATGTACCCCAAAACCTTATTCTAACCACTTATGAAGGCCCCTAAACCCCAAACCCTAATAAACCCCTAAACCCCTAAACCCCTAAACCCCTAAACCCCTAAACCCTAAACCCTAAACCCTAAACCCTAAACCCTACAGCATCCAGAACATGGTCTCGTTTCGACCGTTTCGACTCTATGAGATCCTGGAGCCCAATAACCCCGAAACCCGCGGTTTAGGGTTTAGGGTTTAGGGTTTAGGGGACCCCACAAAATTTATGGGGATCCGATAAACCCTTCGCGCCAAAAAAACCCACAGTTTAGGGTTTAGGGCTTGAGGGGTTTAGGGGTTGAGGGCTTAGGGCCTAAACTCTAAAGCCTAGACCCTTTTAGGGTTTACCGCGAACCCCAACGAGAAATCCAGTTTCCTCCGCGGGCTGGCCATCGGGGACATTTGGGACTTAAGGTAGCCCTTAAAAGAATGCTAAAGCCAAAACCCTGGAACCGAAACCGTAATCCCTCAGCCCTAAACCACAATCCCTAAACCCTAAACCGTAATCCGAACAAAAACCCGAAACCCAAAGCCCCAAACCCAGGAGGAACCCAGGAGCCCTTCCAGGAAACTTATTAATACATTGTATTAGCACCCTTAAAAGGGACCCCTGCGATAGAATCCTACAGCACCCGTAAAGGGGACCCTCGTAAGGGGACGCTCTTATAGAACCCTAGAGTACCCTTAAAGGGGACCCTATCACTAAGCCTCGTACAGAACCCTATAGCACCCTTAAAGGGGACCCACTTTTTGAACCCTGCAGCACCCTTAAAGGGGACCCTATTACTAAGCCTCGTACAGAACCCTATAGCCTCTTATAGAACCCTTGAATACCCTTAAAGGGGACCCTATTACTAAGCTCATTACAGAACCCCATAGCACCCGTAAAGGAGCCCTGCTTTAGATGCAGGTCCTGGGACGATTGCTGGACTCTGAGTCCTCTGTTCGGGCTGTCGTGGCCGAGGCGTCCGTCCATCAGGGTCCTGTAGGGTTTTGAGGGTTTGGGGTTTAGAGTTTAGGGTTTAGGGTTTATATAGGGTTTTTGTTTTTTAGGGTTTTGGGTTTTTCATATCATGGTTGTGGTTTATCGACCTGGGGTATCACCTTCTTTTTTGCCTTTTTTTCTCGGAATGTTAGCCTCCTTGGCAAAACCCGAAGCCCTCAGCCCTAAGTCACCTTCTTCAAGAGGTCGCAGCATCCCCTCACGATCCCTGAACCTTTCTGTCCCACGGGTTTAGGGTTTATTGTCTAGGGTGCCCTGCTGAAAGGCTCTTCCAAGCCTCGCGACGCAGGAGAATCGCAAGGCTGCGTTTTTCCGGGCTTCAATCGGAGGCATCAACTTAGTTCCCCAAATCCCCGCCTTGAAACGTTCTAGGCTCTCATAGGTTAGTAGTCGCCTTAAAGTATAAACTTTTTTTAGTTGCTTATTGGGGAAGTACGTCAAGAGCAAAGCTCGGGAGCCTTACGCAGCATATAGGCATCTGAAGAACGAGTAGCGGAGATAGTGCATGAATCAGTTTATTAGTTACAGCTACAAGCCCAAAACCCCAGACCAACTGCTTATGCCTCCATACTAGAACTCTCTTTCTGCGTTTGAGCTTTGCTTGAGGACTTGGCTTCAAAACTTGTGGCACCCCAGAATCCTACGGCATTTCCTTGTGGCTTTGGCATTTGGATGATCGGTGACTTTGTATGTAAGGATAATGGTGATAGAGAGACGGGTTCTAGGGGTTTCCTAATTGGTTTTCGAATCACGTCCCTTAGTAGGTCAGGTTATAGCTAATCGGGATTATGTGTCACCCGACGTCTTTTCTGCATTCCACGACCTGCACACGATGCTACCGTGAGCCCTAGCCCTAGACCCTTTCCCTAAATCCTGCTTAGTGTGGAGCATGCGATGCAGAAAAGACGCTAGCAAAGAAGGTGAACCCCCAATGCCTGAAACCTTAACCCCTAACCCCTAAGCCCTAAACCCCCAATGCCTGAAACCTGAAGCCCACTTGAAACTGGTGAGGTGTGGACCTACCTGACCCAAGCGCTTCGAAACTTCCGGCCGCCTCCGCAACGAGAAGATTTGAAGGAGGCAGGATGTTCTCGGGTCTAGGGCGGGTGGGATAGAGGGTTTAGAGTGTTTAGGATTTAGGGGGTCTAGAACTGGTTGGTGGCATAGTGCAGGTGTCTGAGTAATTATAAGGTTTAGGGTTTAGGGTGTAGGGTGGTAGAGGGTTTAGGGTCTAGGGTTGAGGGCTTGCGTTAGCATAGGATGGAGTTCGATAGGATTTCACGTCCAATTTCTCCTTAACGCTAGTATAGTACTGGATAGATGCTGCTTAGGATTTGGGGCGTGCGGTCTAGGGCTGAAGGTTCTGGGTTTTGGACTTGCCGGCGTTCGTCCTCAAGTCACGGTCAAATCCGTGACCCTTTACCCACGGACCTAATTACGAGTTGTCAACTGAGGTTTCAAGTACCTGAATTGGACTTGCCTTGTCTTTAGCACGCATAAGTTGCTGACTGCGTCCATTGATCCAGGGCTGATCCTTTGAATGCAGAAGCTACACATTAAATTAAAGGATCAGGGGGAATTCATAGGTCGCAAGGCATACCGTATGAGGGCGAAAAAAGCTTAGACAAGTTGAAGCGCTTTGATCGATGCAGGCTGCATTTTAATTGTGTCTGCGAGACCCCAATCGCAGCACCGCCGAGTTTCATGGTAAGGTTTCGGGTTTAGGGCTCAGGGTTTCTAGGGCTCTAGGTCTTTATGTGGGGGCTGCTCCTCATGTCGGTTTTCCCAGTGGTGCCCTTCTGCCTTTTTCTGTTGTAAGGCTATCTTAAAAGCTTGAAAAAGCAGCGAGAGTGTAATGTCTAAGCTGGTGAACCCACTTACTTTTAACAGGATCATGTGTAACCCATATGAATGTGCTTCCGATGTTTTGGACTTCCTCCTTTAAGTCTGAACGCTACTGGAAGGATCAGGGCACCTGGCGAGTGTAGGTTGTAATTGGGGTTGTAAGTGTCCTATCCGGGATGATCTTACATGGATCCCTGCCTGTAGGGTTTAGGGTTTAGGGTTTAGGGTTTAGGGATCCTACTTACTGAGTTCGCTGATTCATTGTAAAACAGGCGCGACTGATGCCCTGAACTCGTAACCTTAAACAAGAAAAACAGAAGCCTAAGCCCTGAACGGCAAATTCCTGAAGCGGGCCTCCGGCCCTAAGCAAACATCAAGCTAGGTTGGCCCTTGGGATCTTACATTTTTCCCCTTATGGTGCTTATGATGTCCTAGTGTATAAACAAATTCAATAGGCTAAACCCTAAACTCTAAACCCTAAACCCTAAACCCTAAACCTTTAAAGTTTTAACGGTCCAACCTAGCAAGCCACCAAGCACAACCAACAGGCACCGAGCTGGCTGTCCCGGTCGTACGAAAGGGGTCGTAATAATTAGGAGAGGTTGTTGGGTTATATACTATAGTATCATTATCGGTTGTTGGGTTATATACTATATAGTATCATTATAGGTTTTGGGTTATATACTATAGTATCATTATATAGGGACGATGTGTCATGAGGGAGTCACATTGCCAATTTTTTCGTCAGGCCTGCATAAGGGTGTCACGATTGAGGATCCGTGGACTTAGTAAGCAGGCTGTTATGACTTACTGAAGCCTTTAACCCAACTTTGCGAACTCTGAAGCTGACAAGTCGTGATATCTGCAGCCTAAGATCGTCAGGCTGCCTGCCGCGCCCTGACAAAGTTTGTCTCGCATGGCGACGTGGAGGATCGCCCCCCTCGCGTGATTGCGGAAGTGTTTCTTGAGGCATGTAAGTCTAAACTAGTGAGCGAATAAGTGTGCATCGTTATAATAAAATACAAGCAAATAAAGGCAAATGTATTTTACGCAAGTATAACCAAGCATAAACAAATACAAAAGAGAAGGCGGCATAGGTAACTATATAGACAGATAGGCAGATTGATAGATAGGTGGGTAGATAGGTAGATAAAAGCAAAAACCCGAATACAAAAACTATAAACAACCAAGAGTGAACCGTTCTTTGCAATTTAAACAAGCAGAGGGACATGTTGAAAACACAAAAGTATATGCCCTACGACCCAAACCCCTACACTAGTTCCCCAATACCCAACCTTTATGACCTGAAAATTGAACCTTTTATTTGCCTGGCGTATTGGGGAATTAAGTACACTGCCAAGCACAATCCATGAACTTCCAAGCGGGGCTTGGGGTTCAAAGCCCTAAGCCCCAAACCCTAAACCCCTATACCCTAAATCCTAAGCCGATTCTGCGGCCAAGGGGGTTGGGCTTAGGGATTGGGGGGGTGTGTCCTTGTGGAAGTTCACAAGGCTGGTAGAATGTTGAAGGTGTAGGCCGGGTAGGGTTTAGGGTTTAGGGTATCTGGGTTTGGGGTTAGCACTTCCTAATGAACTCTAAGCCCGCAGGCGGGTTCAAACTTCTCGACCCTAATCCCGAAACCGCTAAAAGGCCCTTCTAAGCAGGCTTATAGACACCACCAAAAAGAGACATACACCCTAAACCCCAAACTCCTAACCCCTAAACCCTTAAACCCCTAAACCCCTAAAGCCCTAAACCCCTAAACCCCTAAACCCCTAAACCCTAAACCCCTAAACCCCTAAACCCTAAACTCTACTAAAAAGACCAAGCCAAGCAGGCGATCGACCTTATCGGGGAGTGCATCGATGCGGAGTATCCCCAGGCTCTTGGTTTTCTGATGTTGGGGGCATAAACAACCTGGTCTAGGGTTCGGGGTTCAGGGTTCAGGGTTTAGGGTTTAGGGTTCAGGGTTCAGGGTTTAGGGTTCAGGGTTCAAGGTTTAGGGTTTAGGGTTCAGGGTTCAGGGTTTTGGGTTTAGGGCTTAGTGTTCAGTTCTAGCAGCTTCAATGAGGAAGGCTTTTAAGGCGCCCGTTAGATTTTTTATCGGCTTTGGCTGCGATTTACCTATGCCTGGTGGCACAGAAGCTGGTTTGTGGGTGCCAGCAGCCCGAAACCTAAGGTAAACCCCCAATGCAAGACCTCAGCCCTGCTCATACTATAGAAGCCTGTATAGCTACTTCTAGTTGAGTTCCTTAGAGCTCCTTATATTATCACAAGTCTAGTATCATGTCCATAAAAAAGCAGGATTCTTATCGTTGACGCCCTAAAATACACAGACTCCTGGGACGGTCCGTACTTTCAGTGATTATGATCCAGAACCCCGAAGGTTTGCCGTTCAAACCCAGGTGCAGTATGAAAGGCGGAGGGGAACGCCGTAAGCCCTACACCCTCAACTCTCAACTGGCCACAAGCCCTAATGCACCCGAGCAAACCCCGCAGCCCCAAGAAGAGAGCCTAAACCCCAAAGCCATAAACCCTGAAGCCCTAAGCTTATTTAGGGTTTAGGGTTTAGGGTCCCTAAGCCTTACAGCCTGGACCTTGCATCCTAAAGTCAGAGCCGGCGAACCAGCTTTATCCATAGCTCGACTCTACCAGTTCATGCAGCTCTGCCTTTGCACATGCAAGTATGTACTAAAAGCATGGGGGGAGTTTACGTTTCATGTCACAGTTACCGGTCATTCTTGGGGTGCGGGGACAGACAGCTGAGTTTCAGCTGAGCGATGCCAAGCGCATCTACGATGTCCCGCGTCGGAGGCGGATGACTTACCAACCGCCGCTGTTTTCATTACCCGGGCCAGGCCTTCGAGAGCTTTCGGGTCTTGCTCAGCTCGTTACAAACTCGATATCTTTCGCATGCTGGTTCGCCAAAATTTCTGGAAGCATCATGGCTTCGAGAACTTCAGAGGGAGGCGTGGCCGCAGTGGCCTCCGCACTGGCAGGAGTCACAACAGCAAGCAGCCCCTCCGAAAGCAGCCGATTTTCTGGCAGAAGTCGCGCCCTAAACCCTAAACCCTAAACCCTAAACCCTAAACCCTAAACCCTAAACCACCCTAAACCCTAAACCCGCAGAGGCTCAACCTGACGGGCTCGAGGATGAGATCGGATCGAATCACTACAAAGCGCTTTCGTGTCGGGCTAACCTTAACCCTAAACCCTAAACCCTAAACCCTAAACCCTATACTACCCTTAAAGGAACCCTACACACAAAACCCTAAACCCTAAACCCTATACTACCCTTAAAGCAACCCTACATACTAAACCCTAAACCCTAAACCCTAAACCCTAAACCCTATACTACCTTTCAAGCAACCCTACATACTAAACCCTAAACCCTAAACCCTAAACCCTAAACCCTATACTACCTTTCAAGGAACCCTACATACTAAACCCTAAACCCTAAACCCTATACTACCCTTAAAGCAACCCTACATACTAAACCCTAAACCCTAAACCCTAAACCCTATACTACCTTTCAAGGAACCCTACATACTAAACCCTAAACCCTAAACCGTAAAGACAGGAAGACTGCCCAACCGTAGCAGCTTCGGATCCTCTTCTCAACCTGTGTTCTGTGCTAAGGTTTTAGGGTTTAGGGTTTAGGGTTTAGGGTTTAGGGTTTAGGGTCTAGGGTTTAGGGTTTAGGGTTTAGGGTTACGGAGAGTATACCTTGACGATTCGATGCGAGTCTGAGACTGAGAGCCCTTCGCCACTGACCCAAACCGGCCCAAACCCGCTAGGCGCAAAAAAAAGCCGAGACTCCAAACCATGCAGCCCTGAACCCTAAAACCCTAAACCCTAAACCCTAAACCCTAAACCCTAAACCCTAAAACCCTAAAACCCTAAAGCCCTAAACCATCTCGTGCGAGCGAAAGTCCGTGGCGCCTCAGAAGAGTCCCCAGCCTCACAAGACAAAACTTAACATCAAAACCCTAAACTATAAACCCCTAAAAGTTAGTAAAACCCGAAACTCCAAAACCCCTAAGCCCTAAACCCTAAACCGCTAAACCCCTAAACCCCTAAGCCCTCCTAAACTCTAAAACCCTAAACTGGAAAAGTTCAACAACCCTAAACCCATCCAAACCCTCAGCCTTCAACCCTAAACCCTAAACCCTAAACCCTAAACCCTAAACCCTAAACCTTAAAAGAGAGAACCTAGGGAGCTCAAGTCAAGGCCACCGTGGCTGCACTTCGGGCGCTGGTGGAGGTCGCGCCGTGCTCCGGGCTCAGTGCTTCAGGGGGTTAGGGTTTTAGGGTTTAGGGGTTTAGGGGTTTAGGGGTTTAAGGGTTTAGGGTTTAGGGGTTTAGGGGTTTAGTGGTTTGGGGGTTTAGGGCTTTGGGTTTAGGGATTTAGGGGTTTATTGT